GTCATTAACTTGGCCCTTCACGTAAATGGGCTTTACCGCCTGCCCACTTACATCATTTTCCTTGCCAACTACTAAGGGTGTATCTCTTGGCAAAGTGGCGGCTGCAACATTATTATATTTATTACATTTTATTTTATTATAAATTATATAGATATTAGTTAAATATTACAAAACTTGAAGATATGACAAAGATACATACTTATTATATTTCAAATATTAATACTGAACTTACTCATGCTGCACCAAATATTGAATTAGATGAATTACAGAAAAAAGTTTTGGATGCAACTTTATCTATAGAATTAAAAAATGAGCTTAAAGAAGAAGATAATTATATAATAGATGAAATTGAAGAAGAGCTTTTTATATTAGAAGAAAGTCAAAGTGATGATATTTCTGTTGAAAGTGAATTATTAATAATCAGCAATACTATGGATTTAAATTTATCTAATTTTAAAATACAACCTTTAGCATTAGATAATTATAGTTCTGAACCTATTGTAGACAAAATTGAAGAAGATCATAGCAATGTAGAATTCGATGTTGATGCTTTAGTAAATAGCTTTGATATTTGAGCATTTACATTATATACTATTAAATATAGATAAATGTATTTAATATAATAAATTATTATAATATATAATAATAATATTTATTTAGCTGAAACTAATAATTATATAAATATTGAATTTTATAATCTTTAAAGTTGCAGCATTTAGTTTAGATTATGGTACACATTTTAGGTTTTAGTTTTAGTTTTGGATTTTGGCACAAATTATGGCTTGCAGCATTATTTCTACCAAAAAATTGATACCAAAATATTTTTAGCAAAGTCACAAGTAGTTTCTATGCTATATATAGTCATATGTACAACTTTTGGTTGTTTATTTTAAGTAGTCCACCCATATAGCAGGTTTTATACTAGCTGCCATATCTGCAATCTACTAGAAGATTATCAATTTAAACACTTTAATCTTTATACTTACACTGACAAATAGCACACAAGTTCTTATATACTTAAGTATTATTTAATCTAATCATGACCTTTTTGTCTATATATCTGTCAAGCCATTACACATTTTAGAGTATATTACCTGACTGTAAGACTCCAAAAGCCCCTTTGCTAACTAACTACCCATATTTAGTCTCTTGTTAACAGGGCTCACTCTTGTAGAATTTACCTAGACCCTAGCACCAACTTTATAGTATATTCCTAGTACTTATAGTATACTTCTGCTTCTGACCTTAGACTTTTAATCCAGATTGCCCAGTAGAACTATAACCTGTCTTTGATACCCTAGGGTCTGCCCCCAAGGTCTTTTTTTTTTAGTTTGAAACTTCTGGCAGCCTGGTTGATAGTACTTCTCATTTGAGGTTCTTGTTTGCCAATTCCTTTCACATTGATATCTATTTTCTAAGTCTAGACTTTACAGTAGTACTGTTAAAGATTTGTGCTATCTCTTTACTTGGGTCTTTCCAAGTAGGCTTCAGTTTTTTAGTTTACAGATTTATATAGCCACAAGGACTTATCTTGGGTTTGCACTGCCTAATGCAGTTTGCATTTCTTTGTATAACTTCAACATTGTGCAGATGCTCTATGATCTGCTAGTTATCTGATGTAACTATGTTACAAGTACTGATCCCAACTGATTAACAGAGTGCCATTGCCATAATACCATTTACCTTTTGTAATATTAATATAACATAGATGGTTTTTTAAATTTTCATTGTCAATAGGTTTTGAACTTCCAACCTACCACTTAGAAGATTGAAAACTTATTCACTTACTAAGTCATTACACCTTCTGTTAAATGAGTTTTTAATTAAATTTATATTAATATTTTCTTATATATTTTTTATTCACATTGCTATTTTTTTTTTTTTTAAATATTAAGATGAGTACTTGTAACCTAGGATTTTATTGATAGTACATTCAGCTAATAGTTGCATTACAACTACAGAAGGCAACCATGAAAAGAGTGTACAACTAGCCACTCGTACAACTTTATTTATTGTCTAATTTAAGTAGTTCGCCCAAAGGTTCTATACTAGTTGCCATACCTGGAACCTGCTTGTAGGTTCTCTATTTAACCACTCTGTTTCTGTATCCATCCACCTACCTACACCTACCAAGATGCCCCAGTCAATACCGATTCAAATATGCCATAGTCACTAAGTCTTTAAAGCAGTTTACTCATATGAAGAACCTTTGACTTTGTACTAAACCTTCCAGAATCTTCTGTATCCCATTCTTACAGCTGACCTAATATCGCTATAGCCAAAACCAACACTGGCAGTCAAGGTGTACTATTAAACCACTATGTCCTTGTAGAGTTCACCCCAACCCTGGTACTGACTTCACAACATATTCCTACTACTTTGGTATT